ATCACATGGATTAGGAGCGGGAGAGGATCTGACTCAAACAGACAGCAATGGGCACCAGTGACATGAACAGAAACACGTCCAGAGGAGAAGCTCCATGACCTACACACTCACAGTGTCCTGACACCTGCAAACAGGACAGTGTCAGACAGACTCAGACACCTGGTCTGGCTCTCCCATGGAATTTCCCTTCTCAGCAGCTGCAACTCCAGCAGATTTTTACCTTCCTGCAAGGAAACACTGACCAGCTCTTCCTCTTCCTTGAAGCCTCCATTACTCTTCAGAATTAGGAAATTCAATGGTGTTTCAAGGATGACATCAGCATACTAGTGATAGTCAGACAAATTAGAAGCTCTTCAGACCTCCCCCCATGTCTGGTGGAGGGTTTGGCAGCTCTAGAAGGGCTTGTGAAAACACAGCTTAATGCTGCTTTCTATGAAGGTGGCAGATTCAGTTTTAGCAACTGTGGATCCTCTCACCAGCAAGCTGTTAAGTCAGAAAAGCACAAGCAGCACTTGGAGGCCACTTACTCAAGGGATTTAATAAATACAAGAAGGGTACTTAGAGTGATGGTGTTCTTCATGTTTACAGTGTGTAACAGCATCCTCTGCTCAGTGGGAACAAGTGGGGAAACTGAGGCAGAGACAGCAAGTGACCAACACAAAGACAATGAAAAGAACCAAAGTCACAGCAGCTCCAAATCCTGTGTTTGGAAGTGCTTTCCCAAAAAAAGAGAGGAAAGCAAAACAGACACCAAGCCCCATAACATGTATGCTGATGTAATCCTAAGTCATGTTTTACAGCAGAAAAGACTTCATAAATAAACAAATGAATACAAGGACGCTGGATTGTGATTTCCTACAGTTTTGTGTCTCAAGAGTGGATTGCCCAGTCCTACCCAAAAAAGGTTCATCATCTGCTCAAAGCTCTTCCTGCCATTGAGGCACTCAGGTTCCTCCACAAGTGGGTTTTCCAGTCCCCGTCCTTCAGTCCATGCAGAAACTGCATCTCCCTTCTCTACTTGGTCACTTATTTTCAACAACTCTGAATTCTCCGTGTCCAAACTAGTTATGACTGACCAGCAGGTCCAGGAAAAAGAAAAGGGAGATGGACAGACAACTGAATGAGATAATTACCCCTCTTCACCTTCAAAAACCAGCAAAAAATACTGTAGGCAAGTGGATCCAGTTCTTCTTCAGAAAGTAATGAAATTGCACCAGAGTTGATTTTGGCCCAACACGCACTTGGCAAGTACTGATAACAAGGATTTACCATATCCCCTCTAGTATTACAGCTGACTATAAAACAAACATTTGCTTCCTACTGATAACAAAATGACTATGATCACTCAGGGTTTGTAAAGGTTAGGGTTTCTCTGTCACTCAAGGCAGACCTGTTATTCCCAGTGTCCATGCAAAAAACACCCTGCATGTAACACTGGCCTCAGTTTTCCCTCAGGTACCCACTCACCTCATGCAGAAATACGGTTTGGGATGGATTCCAGCAACAAATTACAATCAGATTAAATATTAATTCCCATCTTAATTATATAACCATGACTAGGCCTAATGGCCTTGAAGCCATTTAACCAGGAGAGGAGTATGTAAATCGTGCAAGCAGCATCTCTTACAGTGCAAATGCCCAGACTGGTTCACCAGCACCTGGATTTTTTCCCTGGGAGAACAGACAGCCTTTGGAAAAGCAGCTCCAAGGGAGGTAAGAATTCAAATCATCCAGCAAGCAATATGGTATCAGGAGTCACAAACCCATGGGACAGCACAGCACTCTGCCCTCAGGATAGCTGTGCACTAGAGTGAGAAAGATCATGTATGTGCTGAATACTTATTGATGGATTTCATCCTCACCTCTGACACAAAGAAGCATCTCTACATTTGGCTGAAGTGGGCCATGAGGTTGCCAGAGCAGATGAAGTAACTGGTCCAGGATCACAGTGAGCAGTCAGGAAAGATGTCCTGTATGCCACAGCCCACCCCAGCACTTCACATACTCAGGAGGCCCAGATGCTCCCAGTGCAGTGACACCTGTGCTGTCCTACAGAAGCTGCCTCCATCTCCAAACCAGGCTACATGCAGGAAAAATAATCTCCTTCATCCCCAGGGAAAGGCAGATTGCCAAATATTTTCTTTTCCAATTCTTACTTGCGCCACTCTGAAGGGCCTCATGTATGACCAGAAGTCACCCACCCCACAGGGCCCCCACAGCAGATCAAATCTGCTGCAGCTGCCAGGAGAAAGTCTGTTGCAAGACAGGGGGATACGCCCCAAAATGAGCCCATTCTGCTTCATTTTGGACTTCAAGGCAGTTAAGGCACAAAACCCAAAAAAAAAAAAAAAGGAAAAACCTAGGGAAAACAGGAGAGACAAAACCAGAATTAAGCCTCATCAGTTTATCCTTCAACTTCACACACTAGAAGAGAAATAGAGAAACGCCATCAAAAGCACTCCCCACGCTAGAGCAGCCCCTGCCTGGCTTGGAGACTGGCTGTCACCAGAGGCACGGCACAACGGCAGCGAGCTCCAAGCTCCGGCACGAGAACGCTGCCCCTGGAAACGGGATACAGGCGAAGCCTCGCCAGCGCTGTGCGCACCGTGTTTGGCACTGTCAGCGCCCCCCGTTTCTTGGGGCGGTAGGAAACATCTCTTCCCTGCACCGCCCATCCCGGTGACACCGCCACGCCACGGTCACAGGGCCGGCGGACCCGCAGGCAGGTGACATCCTGCGAAGCGCAGCAGGGACACGCGATTCCCAACAACGGGAGCGCCGACTTCCCCGGCACGGGCTCTCACGGCAGGCAGCGGCGGCGGGGTCACGCCGCCAAGGCGAACGCGACAGGAAGGATAAAACAAATCACAACTCAAGTGAGGTGGTGTCGAAAAAGGAAATAGCAGGAGAACTCAACCACAAAACCGAACTACACAAAACCAGATGGATTTCAGCTTATCCCTCGGATGGAAAGCTCAGCGCACTTCCCACCAACACGTCCCCTGCAGAGAGTCCCAAGGAAAGGAACCAGCACAGCCCCCTTGTTGGAGTCAACTGAAAAGAGGTTGTTTAGTGCTTGGTTTTTTTTTCCTTAAACCCCTTTCCTGCTACTGAAGGGAAAACAGGCTCAAAGTCAGAAAGCTTTCAAAAACACTGGATCACTTCCCCAGCAAGTGTACACTGGCACTGCTTCCATCAAGTCCAGAGGGGGGAAGGTTTTCCACTCTACTTCTCTCCTACAAACTTCATACCCAGAGAGGCTTGAACTTTGGATCAAAACACATGCGGCTTTGGGATCAAACACAGACTTTCCCAAAACCATTTCAACTCTCTGCCAAATTAATTTCAGATTGAAACAAGTCCATGTTTTTCTTTTCAGAATCAAACCCACCTGTTGAAAAGCACATCCACACGTATCCAGCAGCACGTCCGAAGACTGTGCAGACGCACTCACTGCCTCCCTACACAGGACGTGTCCCATTGTTAGAAAACAAACAGCAACAATTTTCACTAGCTGCCTAACTGCTTGCAAGAAACACCAAGAAACCACAACTACAAATTCTCGCAAAGCATCTGAAGTTTTCTTGTTGAAGTGGGTTTGGAAAAACAACATCCACTCCACCACCCCCATTTTTTGTTTGCCTTTTTTTTTTTTTCTTTTTAAATCATTGTTCTCCATTACAGGTCTTGGGATCCACTTAGCTGTTTGCTCAAACACACAGGAGACACAGCTCCCACTCAGTCCAGCCTAGCCCCTCGGCTGGTGGGGTCACAGCCTGCCACCCATCTAGGAAAACCAACACTCACTGGTGACAATGGGCCATTTACATGGACCGTTATTCACTTCCACAACAGTCACCATAAAGCTGCACCTATGTTGAATCATAACCTACCCCTAACGGGAGCTCACAGTGCTCTGAGGAAAAAGAAAGAAAAGAAAAACAACCCTGCAGCCATCCACGTGCTGTTATTATGCTCTGCTGAACCTGAATGCATCATAAAAGGAATAAAAATGTACAATGACATGGGGATGGCTCCTCCACCACAATATCCCGTTTATGGGGGATTTTAAACAAGAGCAAGTCCCTGGCACACGCTCACATTTTTTGGTGCAGTTCTGCCAACCTGTACCTTTCCAAACCCTTCTCGGGGATGAGAACAAAACCTTTTGTGGGTTGTGCGCACACAGAGAAGGAACCCCACACCCCAAGGTGCGACAGTTCAGCTGACCCCCAATGCCAACTTTGATGGCAACCACAGAAAGCCACCAACACGCCCGGTGGCCGCGTACGTGTGCCCTCGCACGGCGCTGTTTGCGTAACCATTGCAAAACACGAGCGTGAGGAGCATGGCTATTCCTGGGTCACTTCCTTGACCAACGGCACATCTGCCTACCCGTGTGTCCCATTTCGGCAGGAGCAGGGCAAGGGAGGCAAAGGGCCCCTCCACGGCCTCGCTGGCCACCTGGGCCTGCTCTGAGCCACCCTGTGCCACACAAGCTCTTCATTCCCCACCACTCTGGCACGGCCACTGTCCCTCTGGCAGAAACTTGCCACTGTCCAGGCAGAGGCCGTGGAAAGCTGCTCCTGCAGGTCTGCTGTTCCCCCCCCAGCCCCATACACTGATGGGAGTTCTTGTGGGGAGCGTCACCCTCAAAGTGTGAGGCTGTCACTCCCAATGTCACCCCCCAAATGATGACTCCAAAGAAAGCACCATCTAGGCATGGGCCACGAGCACAGTTATCGTCTGACTTGGAGAAAAGAAGGGGATGGGGAGAGGGGGGGAATGGTCACGGAGGGACAGGACGGCCACTAAGGGGAGAAAGGACGACTGGGGTAAAAGGCCACTAAAGGGGAAGGAGGGCTGGTACAGCGGGTGACCGGCCAGGGAGCGCATCCCGCAGAACCGCCCGCTACCCATGTGAGGGCAGGTGGCACCGCGGCCGCCCGCGGGCTGGGGGGCACCGACCCCTTCCCACCCTCCTCTCCCTCCTCACCCACCTTGCACGGCCAGGACGGCTAGGGCGGAGAAGCAGAGACAAAGCAGCAGGTCCTCCAGCGCCATGTAAGCCCCGCCGGGCGCCGGGAGCAGGGGCCGCCGCGGCCGCATCTACGAGGGGAGCGCGCTCTCCCGCCGCCCCACCGCCATCTTGTGCGAGCGCCCCGGCCCCAGCCCCAGCCCCGCGCTGCCCGCCGGGCCCCGCTGCCGGGGGCGGCCCTGGGCTGCCGCTGCTCCGCCTTTGTCAGCGGCCCGGCCGCCCCTCTGAGGGGCTCCTCCCGCCGCCCGGCAGCGCCCGCACCAACAGGTTGCTGCCAGCCCGCGGCGGGGGAGTAGTCGCGTTCCCTCAGGGTGGGGGACGGCAGGTGCGGGGCTTCTCCGCCCGCCGGTGGCTCAACAAGCCACAAACATTTATAACATTTTATGTGGTGTTTTTAAATATTTTCTTGCTTCAATCTCTTTAGTATTTTTTTTCCGGTTTTGCCACGGCTGAGCGTGGAGGGTACCGGACCGCCTTCAGCAGCCGCGCTCCCCTCACGGTGCTTCCCGGGGATGCCTCAGCCGGCCCCGGGAGTGGCCCCGCTCCCTGAGGGGGTGGACGGCAGGTGCGGGACTCTTCCGCTCGCCAGCAGCTCCACAAGCCACAAACATTTGTAACATTTTATGTGGCTTTTTAAATTAAAATTCCACCCCCCAGCTCTGTAGGGTTTTTTCCCCGGTTTTCCACGGGTGAGCGCGGAGGGCACCGCGCAGCTCCCGCCGCCGCGCTCCCCTCACGGTGCTGCCGGGGACGCCTCCCCGGCCCCGCTGCCCGTCGGGGCTGCCGGAGCTCAGCGCGCCGAGCCCGGCTGGCAGCGGAGGCAAACGGACACCAGTAGCCGCACTGCCATGGCTTTGTTGGGGTTCAGTTTCAAGGCACACTCCTTCAGGTGTATATCATTGTATTTCATCAGTATATCAGTGTATTTCATTGGTCGTCAAAGCCTTGCCTGTGCTTCTCAGCCGACTGTAAAAATAAAGCAAATAAAATACATGATGTGGCATGTCTGCACCCCATCGCTGAGGAGAGAGGCAGGACCTATCCATCAGCTGAGCCAAGCAGTGGAAATGAGGCAAGGAGATGAGAGATGGAGGCCAAAGTTGCTGCCTCCCCATTTGGCTTGGCTGGGTCCCAGACACAAACTCGCACCACACGTGTGTGCGTAAAGCCACAGGTGCAGGTTTAATCCTGAGAGCAAATGACACCAAGTCCTTTAGGCAGTGGTACCTGGCACCAAACACAGGGGCAGTTGCATCCAGAGTGGGTCTGCTTTGCCCTCCAAAAGGGTACGAAGCTGCCCAGCACACGGGCATGTTTTATCACAGCAGTGTGGAATGTGGAGGGGGCTTCAGCTATGCAGGGTATGAAAAAAGAAACCTTTTTAATCCAGACCCTCCTATTTATTAGCTTGTATAATGAACTATAAAAACTTAAATGAAACCAGAAAGGCTGTGTGGTGGGAAGCAGGTTTCCCGGGAGTGTGAGTTATGCATCTCTAAGTTGATACCTGGCAGTGGCCAATACAGACAAGCTCTGAGAGGCAGCAGCCCCCTCCTCTGAAGGGATGTGCAGAGGGGCTTTGCCCAACATCAGGTGGGCACTCACTGTGCACCTTGCTGGGAAGGAGTGCATAATAAGGCCACAGCATTCCACTGGACCCATTTCTGCACCATCTCACCCCCCTGTGGAAAGGAAAGTGGGTAGTAATATCCACATCCTTTTCTGCACCAGTCCAGCACAGAGGTAAAGATTACAAACCCTTCTTTCTTTCTGAGTCCTTCCCACCTGCTCCTTTATGTGTGAGGTGGTTTTAAGGGTGCTGTCAAATTGCTTTAACTAGGCTGTAAAGAAATGTCTGCTTGTGTCTGCCAGTGGTTTCTTTCACACACCCCTGCCCGTTTTTCTTCAAACCCCAGATATTTCTCCCTCCCTTTAAGCAAGAAAAAACTTTACCTTGCAGTGAGGAAAGTCTTACATTAATATAAACAAGGAAAATTGCTAGTTGTCTACAAAACACTGCAAATTCTGGCTAAAAGCACTTGCCTGTGTTAAGGCGTTGACCGAGCTCCATGTCAACAGGCCTGGGTTAGACCAGGCTTTGAAAGACCCAGGCTTAACCCCCGTCTTAACTCTCTACCTGATCTTAGTGTTACTTAATTCCTCTCTGGCACCTCTTTGTCTTCCTGCATGTCTATGGAAACAGGAATGAAACCAGTATTTCAACAAACCCAAGCTTGCAACATATAGTCTTTGAATATCTGTCCCTGGGGAAAAGAAAAAAACAGCGACTTGGCAAACAGCCCCTGAACTGAGAGCAGCAGAAACATCACCCGGAGCACCAGCTCCTTCTCACTGACACCACCTGTGCTCTGCAGGAGCAGCACCAAGTCCCAGCGTCTGCTCAGCGAGGTGAAATGATTCCCTGTGGCACTTACAGAGGGAGAGCCTGGCTAAAGAGCCACTTAGGGGGTTTGGGAAGGATCAGATAACTCCCTGGTTGTCAGTCCGTAAAGAACAAAGTGGCAGCAGCCATGCCAACAGAAGGGACATTCCTTCCCAGACAGTGGCACTTCTGCTCCAGTACTCAGGGCAGCAAACCCCCCATTTATGTGCTACAGACTCCCCAGCGTTCCGTTCCTGTCGACGAGGCATTTCTGCCTTTCGATAGCTGCAAGCCTTCCACACTTTGAGAGAAGAAAGTGTGACAGGTGAAGCAGCAGCAGTAAGTGGCAAGTGTTGGTAGTTCAGCTTTTTGTTCCCCCTTTGAGAGACATTATTTCTGTGCTACAAAAATTTTTTGGTGAGTCAGGTGTATGGACAGTGTATCGTACACTTGTCTTGGTTTGTATAAGATCCCAGGAATAACAGCCCACTAGGCAAACCCAGCAAAAGGTGCTATAAATTTAAGTAGCTGAGCAGACATTTTGAACATCCAAAGACACATCTTTTTAGGATGTAAAGTCCTATTTTAAGGGTCAAAAGCCTCATTTTTTAGCTTTTTTTCCCGTGCAGGCAGCGTGTAGCCAAGGGGGATCCATGCTTCTTGTAAGGCTATATTAGTGGAAGAGAGCTTGAAGCAAAGCACCACATTACAGAGGGTTCTGAATCAGAACTTCCCCAGCCTCTGAATCCAAACCCACATGAAGAAGCCCATGTCTACTTCCAGCTGGCAGCTGTGGGATTCAGACTACCAGGATGTAGTTGTACGAGTTACTAAACAAGTGCAGGTAAAGAACACCACCTGCTGTAAAATAGACACCCTAAAATAAAATAAACCTGAACAAGGAGAAGGTATTTCAGAGAAAAAGCAGTGGAGCAAGAAGATTCACAGCTTAGATCCTTTCTCTCCCAAGCAGGATTAAACTTCCCAGTCTCATACAGCCTTGCTCCGTTTTCTGACCATCCCTGACTCCAGACGTGTCTGCAGGGCTGAGGTTGACATTTTATGACGGATTTAAGCAGCTCTAATTACCAGAAGAGTTGGCTGCTCTTTCCTTTGTGACGGCATTAGTGCTTGAATGAGCCTGGAGCTGGACAGAGGAAAGGATGGTGCTGAAAACTTAATTGGCGACAACATTAACAACAAAATCAGGGCCCTGCTCCAGCTCCCTGTGCAATCACTCAGGAGTTAGTGCCAGCACAAGGAAAGCAATGGGAATAGACAGACAGAGACATGAGGAAGTTTTCCACAGCAGTACAAAGCTGGATCAGCTCAAACTCACTGCAAGACTTCACCCTTGGTCTTCCCAGAAAAGGAGTCTCTTGGGGACCTTTACACCAGGACTCACTTTGTTCCCAGACTTCTTCTGGTCTGGCAGCAACTTCAGCACTGGAGGGAACGTTGACTTCCAGACAAGGAAAGTGACGGTAGCCTCCTGTTCCGTATGCGTGAGCAATGCCAAACAGGAGCAGCTGGTTGCACATAATAACATGCATGGTGTAAGTGAGCAACACAATGAGCAATTTGCTCAACAACCCAGGGACATCAGGACAGTTCTGTATCACAGGGAAGAAAGAAAAGAGGAAAAAAACATGTGATGACCAAACCCTAAGGGAGACTCAGCATCCTACACATCCATTTCATTACGCTTGCTCTTATAAATATTTATTACCCAGCCTATCTCATCATTCTTCCAGGAATGGGTGTTGTGTTATTGTTATACCCAGGGAGGGCTTTCCTTCTTCCTCTGGTCCTGCTGCAGGCAGTCAGCAGTTGCCAAAGATAGATTGGGAGCAAGAGTGTGACATTAACTATGGAAAATGCTGCTTAAAATGGAGCTCAGGGGCAGATATTGGCAGGTGCATTGTTAGGAGGAAAACGAATGGAAAAGGCAGCACGTAATGAGATTCGGAAGCTTGTATTTAAAATGTGTTCATGGCAAAAGGGATTTCTGCATGCAAGGGCCCTGGTCCAACAGCCAGAGCCACGGGTGAGGAGGGACTCACACCCTGAAAAAACCTGCACAGATCCAGGATGGGGGAGTTATCATGTAGACAGTGCCAGGCTATGGAGCAGGAATGAGAGCAGGGTGGATTCCAAGTACCAACATCATCCCTCTGCCTGCACATGGAAAAATATCATGTTAAAGTAGGGTAAAAACCTCCAGCATTTACAAAGCTTTGCTGATCAAACTCAGACTGGGTTTTTATGTCTTTGATTTGTATTGCTGCTGGGATGTCCAGGTGCCCTGTTTCTTTCTCTTCCTGGGACTTATAACCCAGGTGAGGCTTTGCTAAATCAAATGTGATTATGCCTCACACAGAGACACATTGACTGATTCTGGAGGGAGCCAACAAGAAAGATGGAGAGGGACTTTAACAAGAGCATAGAGCGACAGGACAAGGGAGAATGGCTTCACACTAAAAAAAGCTGTAGCTGCCCCATCCCTGGAAGTGCCCAAGACCAGGGTGGGTGGATGGAGATTTGAGCATCCTGGTATAGTGGAAAGTGTTCCTGTCCATGGCAGGGGGTGGAATGAGATGATCTTTAAGGTCCTTTCCAACCCAAACCATTCTGGGATTCTGTGATCAGTCAAGACAAGTGACTTGGGTTGGATTGCTGACAATCCAA